ATAACCTGGTAAGATGCCTGGTTTTCTGGTCGATGATTGTAATTTTCAGTCACCTAAATACTTTTGGTAAAAAAAAAACTTGAAGGATGTGTAGACCGATTTTCTTTGCATATTTGTGAAGACGTATAGCTCTTCCCAAATTTTACTTCCATTTCAAATTTACTAATGAAAAAAAAAACCAGATTTCTAAATACCATAGTCAAGATAGACAGTTTTTCGGGCATAAACTCAAGCAAGGCAATCCAGACATAGCCGGTGTGCATCAGAAATAGCAGCACCATCTCAAGCTCAATGAAACTTTGTTGTCAGACCGGCCGTTTCGATACTTCAAGTAGGAGTTATGGTAAAGAAAATAATACTTCTGATCTCCAGATGATTCAGACTGGTCACGCATATCGGTAGAACAATATCTGCATTTTGTTAACAAAGATGCGAGATTGAAACATATTTTCCCAAACTGATTGACTAAAAAAAGAACCGGGACAAGTTTCCCCTTTTTGCTTCTTTTCCGTTATCCGGAAACGAATGAATATTTGATCTCATTTGCTAGACAGAAACTTTCCACAAGAGTATTAGCAGTTATTCGTAAGCTTACTCTGGCTAACGCCGTACGTGGCCGGTTTTCAAAATACTTTTTTGTAAAGCTGTGAAATGCAAAATGGATTTAGATTTTACAATGACCGCATGATTCAACTATTACTTCACGCGAAAAGCAAATGAAGGTGTAGAGAAAATCTTCTAGTATGAGAGTCATACATTTTATCTGGAGTTCCTTCCAAAGCGAGAAAACAGTTCCTTATTGAATAACAGAAGTCGCACTTTCATAAGCGCCATTGATCGATGATCGCCGTGACCCCCTGCCCCCACCCCGCGGTCCGTGAATAAGCCAAAACACATGATCGCGTACGTGAATCAACCTTATTTCCTCTGTTTCATTGCAGAGAAAGGATCCTTCCAGAAAATAAGCACAGCATTGGAATCTTCGAATCTTACGCTATCGAATCATTACCAATAGCCTGAAAAAGAGCTCTGTCTCGCGAGAAAAACGCGTGGGTGAAACACCATGTTTTCTTTTCGCCGAAGTCTATAAAAGAGTCTTTTCAAAATACCGCCACATATGGCGCTAGCCAGAGATTTATGATTTCGAATGATTACTAATACTTCACTGTTATGAAAAGTTGTTGTCCATCAAATGGAGTCGAATATCCATATGTTCCCCAATGACGGAAAAAACCTCTTTTTTTTCGAACTAAGTTTGGTAAAATGAGATTTTGACAGTATAGCAGGCACTGAACCAATGCCCTTAGTTTGACTTTTGATGCCTGAAATGTGCAAAATCAATAAGGCCATATCCTTCTGAACAGTACTTGTATCTCATGTAAGTAACGTAATGATACAGTAACGCTTCACAAATCACATCAAGGTATTGTTGCAAACATTCGTACGATATTCACGATACATCAGATTAGTGAACAGATTGGAACAAATTTGTCTTCTTTGAACAGTAGTAGGAGCAAGAAAATAACTATTGGCTACATCTGAAATGGAAGATCTACGGTATAAGAATGGAATAAAGAAGACAAGTGATATCTCCAGTGGCGAAGAACCATTAAATCCGTCGTTTCCGACCCTTAGTTTGTTGTGCTGAGAAATATTCATGTAGACGGCTCTGACACTTCATGCTTTCTTCATACAGTCTCTTCTCCATATTGTCGATTTTCGTGGTGATTCCACTATCAGACATAGTCCTTAGGACGATATCTACAACGGATTGTAATTAAACACTATGTGACTAGGTGGGATCCGAACCCACGCCCCCGAAGAGACTGGGCTATTCTCGAGATTGCGAGGGAAACGATTCGAATGCTACAAGTAGTGGGATCCGCAAAGTGACAAAATACGCTGTGAAGTCGGATCAATAAAGTGCCAAAGTGTCCAGAACACTACGTAAAATAATTTTCCTCAGTGATTAAGTCAAACTGCGTTTACTCGGCTGACATTTCGACGCGTTCCATCTTCTTCAGAACTGATGCTCATGTCAATTGCCCTTGGACGCTCGTCCTCGTTGGGGCTCCTCACCTTCGTCTCGCTCGAGTCGCACTTTCTTCAAAGGAATCCTTGCTTAGATGAAGAACTTCACTCGGCGATCTCTTCATATACAAGACGGAGTACATGCTAGTTAGTTATTTGCTCTTCTAATCAGTTGATCGCCCGTTGATAGCGATAACACACTCACTTTCTCCGCGCGATCTGTTGCAGAAGTCGACAGTATTAACGGCATGATCAGGGCGCCAAAATATATTTTTAATCAAATCTCCATTAACCTCGGTATAACCAATCCAATCCATTTTCTATTTGATTAAGCTTGTAGCATAAGGTGTTAATTACAATTTTCATTGAGGTGACGCTCCACTGTAACTAATTGTAACTAATTAGCATGAGTTTCATCCTGTATCGGAGCCCGTCGAGTGAGGTTTCTCATCAGAGCGGTGCTCCATCGAAGAAGGGTCGACTCGAACGAAACGAAGATGAAGATCCACAACGAGGACGAACGACGTTGAACAGTCAACTTGAATATTGGCTATGAAGAAGATGAAATGGCGGGAAACATCAGCCGAATAAAACTTTTCACCAAGAGCCTCGGCCACGGCTTCATGAACGAATGAAAAATATGACTGATTGCTTATGCCGAGGGTGGAGAAAAATCGATTTTTATGCATGCACAGACAATGGCGGTGTTGTGTCTCATGGGAAAGTGAAGTTACGAGGCCACCTGCCTATAAACGCTGGTCCCCAAAGGGTTACAAACCACCAAGTAGGGAAGTGTATATAGAGCTTGAGCAACGATTAACGTCTTTATAGCAGGAGATCTAACCATCAACGATCCTGTGAAAGCTGTAAGTACAACTGAATCTGAACCAAGCGGACAAGAACAGATGGATATATTCTGACAAGAATTCTTCATTTACCCATTTTTTTAGCAGCGAAATGATGTTGTAAATATATACCCAATAAGGTTTAGTGCTATGCAAGACCTGGAACCTCGGGCGATAGGTGAACCCGCATCTCACCCTTTCCGGAAGCACGTGCTAACCACCGCACTTCCATGGCCCGTTTCCTAGTACCACTCTGCTATACAAGGTATCGATTCTGCTAGCAACCAACGACTATCAAATATATTCCGATTGTGAAAAAACTACAAGCCAGTCAGATGTTTCGTATCTTTGGCAGCCTTATTTTCCCTTACAGACATGAAAAACAGTAGTGACAATGAAGTAGAAAAAACGCTTCAAAACCTATGTCATCGACTTAGGAGACATCAAATAACTGAATAAACGAAGTCGTATTACCTCCGATTCGTTGGACAATTGTCTCCACTAAACAGTCTGCGATTTCGCCAGCAACATTTCCACCAAGGAGCTGACAAAGATTCATTCCCATTTTGTAATAGTATGGTTGAAGGGCGTCGAGATTAGCGTGTGCAGCATTTGCTAGCAAAACGTTCCTCACATTTGAATTGTAGGCCATTGGAAGCGTCCATCTAAAATTGGCGTGCACAGAACTTTCGACTCCACGTGGGAGTTGAACCCGCGTTTCACCCAAACCGGGGAGGTGCTGGTAAGAATTTATTCAAATGTAAAATATTAGATTGTAAATCTAAGATAGATTGACTCTTGATAATTTTGGATACACCACCGAGGCCATCGCCTATTATTTTAATAATATTGACACCACATTCATCCAGGAAAATGGTCAACTCTTTCAAGGTCATGGATCCACCTCTTCTGCATCTCAAACCCCCAGCGCGGTAACGCATTGAATGTGTTATTGTATTAATTCAATTGTATTATTGTTGCTATAATACTACTCATAACAACACAATATATTTACATATAACATAAGATAGGGAAATAACAACAGAAGTACCTAATACATTCAATGCGTCCCCACGCTTGGGCCTAGAGATGCAGAGGAAATGGAGCAGACCGACCAGCGTTGCCACGCTGGAGATTAGAGACTTAATAGAAGTGAATCCACGGCCCCGAAAAAGTTACGAAGAAAAAACTATATTATCGGGAAGAGATTCTCTGAAAAGAAAAACACTGTGCACATAAAGTTGACTGGGTTACGTCGTATGTAATACACAAACGCATTTTAACGCACTGTGTTCGAAGACAAAAAAGAAAGTGATGATTTTGGGTCCTTCTTGGTTATAAGGGGACAGATAAAAAACCGACACCATTCGGCGGACAGGAAATTTTCATAGGAGTGTTAGCAAACGTTCGAAAGCTGAGATTTCTGGCTACAGCCCCACGCCAAGGTTTTCGAAAAAGCCAATTTCAACGTTATTACAGAAGGAAATTCTTTGCGTTGCAAACGCGCATATTTCTCGCCGGTCAGAGCTCTTTCTTTGAACCAATAGTAATGAGCTCTGGTTGGCGAGAAATATGCGCGCTTAAGGCTAGTTTTATTTCAGATTTTACAGCGTTATAAAAGGGTGATTTGAAAAACGGCAACGTGGGGTTGTAGCCAGAAGTCTCAACTTTCGAATGGTTACTAACACTCGTAGTGAGAGTTCCTGCTCAGCATAAGGGATCGGTTTTTTATTTGCTCCTTTATAACCGAAAGGAAGCGATTACGTTGCAAAGCGGAAGGATAATCACGATGTAGACATCGAATATTTCCTTCAAAAAAAACGAGAAATATTTATTCTATGGAAAACGGTATGATGAGATAAGCACGAGTTAGTAAATCAGAAGTGGAAGCCCTTAATCCACTCACCGAACTAAACGGCTCAAGCGCTCGAACGAACCAAAACGGCGTCAACACCTTATAGCCTCCTCATTCGTATAATGAGGAGCATTCGTGCCGAGTAACTCAAACACCTCTAAATGGAAAAAACTGCAAGTTTCACCAATTACTCTGAGTGCCTGGCCGATGAGACTCCACCGAGAACTCTCGGTGTCACACCCAACGATGGTCGAGTGATGTGCAAATTTTGAACGCCAGCTGGGAATTGAACCCGCATTTCATCCTTTCCAGGAGTGCGTGCTAGCCAATTGCACTATCGGACGCTCCTACTCTGCTAACATTCTACCTGCGACACAAGGCATCAACCTGTTAGTAACCAGTCGTCAACGGTTTGGCCTCTGACGAACCACATACCACTACAGCGGTTCAATAAAAAGAATTCTAGCTGGTTTTATTTATGTCCAATATATGTCAGCGTAATTGGCTGCAGAGACGATCTATGCTTGCCAAGTCGAAAACGATGACGACTGATTGCCGACAGATCGATTAATTGTATCGCAGTAGGGAAGAAGGCAGAACGAGGGCGTCGTTAATGCAACTGGTTAGCACGCGCCACCGAAAAGGGTGAAATGCGGGTTCGACTCCTCGTCCAGCGTTCAAAGTTTTGTACATCGCTCAACCTTACTAGATATAGTTTTGTATCATCACATCACCGCTAAAACGGTCATAGAAGAAGAGTTTTGCTACTCTAAACAAAACACCGTAGAGAAGCCACTTACCTCGAGGGGTGCCGCCGCTGTATGTGACACATAACTTTCGTTGAACGTGCCAATAAGGAATCGATGTCGAAAAAATCTGCAGCTACGTCGCTTTCGTTAGTCGCCATTACTGAAAGATCGAAATTTGTCGTGGAAGGAACGGGGCTAGATAGAACAAAAACGATTCCTGCTCACTATAAGGCGACAAATGAAAAACTGATCTCATTCGCTGGATAGAAACTATCCGTAGAGATGTTGGTAATCACTTGAAAGCCTGAATCTCTGGCTACAGCCTAGTGTGGCCGATTTTCGATAAAGCTTCTTTTTGACGTTGTTACAGAAGGAATTTCCTTATGCTTCACACACGCATTTTTCTCACATGACAGAGCTCTTTTTCTGGACTATTAGTAATCATTTGATAGCTTAACGCTTGCTGATTCCAACTCTGTGCTTATATCCTGAAAAGACCGTTTATCTGCAACGCAGCAGGGAAGATATGATTGATTCACATGCGCAAGGTGATCTATGGTTAATTCACGGGCCGCTGGGTGAGGCAGCAAGGTCGGTTGACGCGATGATCGATCGATTTCTGAGCATATGAAGGTGCAGGGAAAACCACTTAGTATCTCAATGTCTTCGAGTCACTGTCGGAAGCAGCTTAGAACGCCACTCCTGAATTTCATCAAGGTGATCGTAATGATGACTGATTGATCCGTATTCATGGCAAAATAGAAGTGTTCTAAGTGTTTCTGTATCAGAATCACACGCTTCTATCTGCACTTTTCTTTCAAGGTGGAGAAATAATCCCCAGTTGAATAGCAAAGATCGTACTAGAATAAGAGCGGTCGAAAATCGATCGATAGTTGTGCGACCCCCATTGCTGCCTTAGCCAGCGGCTCGTGAATCGGCCAAAGACCACTTGCTCGCGCATACGAATTCAATCCTATATAATCTGCTACTCTGCACAGAAACGGTCTCTCCACAAATAAGCACAGCGTTGGAATCAGCAAACATTACGCTATCGAATGATTACTAATAGTCCAGAAAAAGAGCTTTCTCTTGCGGAAAAAAAACGTGTGTGTGAAACACAAGGGATTTCCTTTTGCAACAACGTCAAAAGAAGGTTTTTTTGAAAATCAGCCACGTGGGGCTGTTGCCAAAGATTTAAGCTTTCAAGTGATTCTAACTTTCCTATGAATAGCTCCCGTCCAGCGAATGAGATCGATTTCTCATTTGTCGCCTTATAATGGACAAGTAGCACGAAAACGTCTGCTGCGTGCTGCTGTTTCTATCATGACAACAACATTATTTATATGTTTAGGAACGAATTGTAGGGATAGGACGGCGCAGTGGTCAGTGGTGCTGGGTACCAGAAAGCGAGGTGATACGCGATGCGCTGGTTCGCTTCTTTCCCCAGCACACTCCTGCCGCAAATCCACAAACGCTAGGGAAACGTCTTGGCTCGGTTACCTTCACGATTGAGAGAAAAGCCGTCTTGAACGCAATACATATTCATAGAGGAAGGCCAAATCCTCTAGCACGGACGAACGAACACGTGAAATATTCGAAGACCTTCGTGGAGGATGCGAAATGCGAGGAAACTAATCGACTACAAGTGCTCGCATTCAGAAAGTAGACTTTGGGACGACGAATGAAAGAATAAAGCACAAAGCTCTTGGCATTGATCAATCCCTAAGGGATGCGCCATGCATTGTCTTCAATTTTTAACTTCGTTTGAGGTGATTGAATGCATATCTGGCCTTTACAATGACTCGCGGCGGCCTCTCGCTGAACCGAGTCAGTGCTGATTATCTTCCCAGACAACTCTGAAACCAGTCTGGTACCAAATCATCGACCCCGGAGGGATGGATGGCTTGGTGAGCCGTGAGCGCGAGGTCGAACTATTGAGCTCGTGTGCGACGCAGACCCTCTAACCACTGCGCCACATGCGCTCCTGTGACGGGTCACGTAAAAAAGAGAGAAACTGATCTTCAAAAAATCGAGCCTAAAAAGGTTTGACTTCCTCGTATCGTCGGGATCTTAACAGAGCTCACCTCAAAGCGTGAATAAACTCTTAATGCTCATGCGAATGTTCGCCAAATGACACCGCTTCACAGTAAGAAAAAAATAACTGTTACTAAAGAAATGAAGAAACCTTGGAGCTGAAGCTGAAGCGAAGGAACGTCTTGAAGGGCAGAGGTAAGGAGAATTTTTCAAATGTCATATTTCGCGCACTTTGTCTCGCTCTCGTCCACGAAATTGGCCATAGAGCATTTTATCCCTTGGGAGCTTTAACAGTTGCAACGTGCGAAACCTCAGCCAATACTGTGCTGTAGTGTATTCATTAGATCGTTCTGTTAAGAACCTTAAGTTCTTTCTGATTATAAGGGGACTAAATGAAAAACCGATCTTCTTCGGTATACTCATCGATTTTTCGGGCATATGAACGCGTAGAGAAGTATCGCATCAGCAGTTCACGTGGCCGCTTCATACCCACGCACGTGAATCGGCCAAAGAAGGCATAGATCGCAGACGAGAATTAACTTATCTTACCTTCTGCGTTGTAGGGAAGCGGTCTTTTCAAGATATAAGCACTGCGTTGGAATCAGAAACGATAACGCTATCGAATGATTATTTATGGTCCAAAGAAAAACCTCTGCACGGCGAGAAATATGCGCGTCTGCAACGCAAGAAATCTCCTTCTGTGGCAACGTCAAAAAAAGGCTTTTTCGAAAGTCGGCGACGTGGGGCTGTAGTCTGAAGTCTCAGCTTTCGAATGGTTACTCGCACTCCTATGAAAAGTTCCTGTCGAACGACTGAGGTCGGTTTTGATTTGTCTCTTTATGACTGAATAATACCGAACCTCATACTCTGCTCATCAAGAGAGCACTGATGAAGGGACAACTGATAAGTGGTAAGAGATGGTGCCATAACCCAGAATTATAGCCTACCTCTTGATGAGCGATGGAAAGCTGTTCAAAGTAAAGTAATTTTCACAAACAAGAACCTGTCAAAATTCTTTCTATTTCGACTGCCACTTGCAGTGGTACGATCTTATAGTATACCCAATATGTGGAGTACTGTGCAAAAACGTTTGCGTCAGCCGGGATTCGAACCCTGATCTCACTCTTTCCGGGAGCGTATGCTAACCGTTGCACTACCGATAGCGGCTGCCCCGCCAGGCCGTCGACGGTTGGCTGTTGGCAGACAACGCGTTGTAGCGTAAATAAGAGTGCTGTGCAAAGCGAGCGTCGGTAGTGCAACGGTTAGCATACGCTCCCGGAAAGAGTGAGATCTGGGTTCGAATCCCGGCTGACGCAAACGTTTTTGCACAGTACTCCACATATTAAGAACCTGTCATTCTCTTCGACCCGTGCTTGCCCGATGTTTGGAAGCTGATCGTAAAAGAGGTCATAGAAGATCGTAGAAGAGAAGTGTCTTCGACGACTAAAGAATGACGAGTAAGAAGAAACAGTTTATGCCTCAAAAAAATCGGCGATAAAAGAGCGCAGTCAGGATCGGAAATATACTCATTTTCCGACGATATATCTTTCCTCACTGAAGAGCCAAGCTTAAACGATAGCGGAGCACACAAAGCACTTTGAAGGCGAAGCTTTATTTCTTTTCGTCGTTCCTACAGCGCTGTAACAGCTTTGTTTGAAAACTAGATTTACATCTGGAATTGTCGTCACCTTAACTATGAATGACTGCTAAGATTTAGTGAAAAAACTTCGTATGCTAAAAAAGCCATGCAAACACGATTGCAAATACACTATACACTTCAGAAGGAAAACGTAATTTTCTCTTCGTTGCTACAGCTCATTTGAGAAGCGCTTTGAGAGATCACGCAATGTTAAAACAGAATTTTTTAGCTATCGGCTGATTACCAAAAACCTTGTGAAAAAATGTGTTCACGAGGAAACCACGAAAAAGCCCGGACCAGTTCTGGTACACGTGGTCCTGAAAAGGTTAAGATTAGATTTGAAACCTAAATTGTAACAGTTTGCTTGACTAGCGGCGTGAATTAATTATGAAGAATGTAAAATTGCGACTTTCCAAATCTTCAATGACCAAAAAGTGACTTTTTTGAATAGTAAGTGAAATTTGTGTGATGCGGGTGACACGTTCGAGAGTGCGCATACTCACTAGCATTTTACCACTAATCCAAATAGTCAGTTAAGAGATCTATCATAGTACGCTAGCTATACTTGTTGAATTAGTGTATGAATTCTAGTTCGACTTGAGGATCAATGAAATTCTATCTTTGTTAGCATGTTCAATGCTGATCAAGCATGACTTTTCCTTTCTTTTTAAGTTGTGTAATGTGACAATCTCGAATGATTACTTCGAGAAAAAGTCGATCCATAGTGGTCAGATGTCTATGTTCCTTCGTTAAGACTCGTTCAGTACAACTGGGTCAAGTGCCCGCATAAAATATTGAAAACTCTTGTTTTTATTATACACTTCCCTTGCCTATCTCTGAAATTGTGATTCAGCCAACACGTGTATTTTACTTGATTTGCGATGGTTGGAGAATGTTTTATAACGAGATATAAATTACATTTATA